ACTAGAGGAAGGTTGTGAGTTTCATTATTGCTACACTGAACCCTGAGTGACTCATCTCCTCCCCACTACCCCTCTGCAAGGGATGTCCATGTGTCTACAGATGGGCATTGGGCATATCTTATTTTGAAGTGAAAAACAAAACGGGTCAAAAAACACCTGGCGGGCCGGAAAAATGTCCTCAGTGGGCCGCATGTGGCCCATGGGCCACAGTTTGAGGACCCCTGCATTACTGTCTAGGAGACTCATAGTGACACTAACAGGGCAGAATAGAACTGCCCGGTAGCTGTTTCCCAGACTGTAATCTTGATGGAAACAGATTGCCACAGCTTTCTCCCCGAGAGCAGCAGACATTAAGAATATAATAACACTTTACAAGAAAAACAGTACTGAAAAGGGTTCATAGGTAATTCCCAGGCAAAGAATAAAAGCTTTCATAGGCTTAGAAATACAAAAGCCCAAAATTAACATACTTAAAAAGCTTGCTGAAAATGTATAGAAACAAAAGTCTAATAGTGTTATCAGGGAAAATGAGGAAGTGGGAAGTTATGGCTTTAGGGGTACTGAGTTTCTACATGGAATGAAATGAAAAACTTGTGGAAATAGGGAGTGGTGATAGCTACCCTCCTCTACTAAGATTACAGCAGTTCTCGGCTTCTGTTCTGGCCTTTCTTACCATAAAAGCCCTTATTCCACATTTCAGGGATCCAGGATGGGGTTTCTGTCAGTTATTGAGGATGTTTATTCCAATAATGGATTCTGGAGTTGGGGAAATCACTAACTGATGGGTTTGGGGACACATTGGACACCCTGTGAGATGGGCCTGAACCAGGACTCATTAATAACTTCACCTCCCTAAGGTCCCACTCTGACTGGGGGGCCTTCAAAAGGTTTTGGGCCTCCTGGGATTAATGCCAATTCAGAACCAGTGTCTAGCAATCCCTGAAAAGTCTGATTTCCTTTTCCCCAGGGAATACTCACTCTTGTAAAAAGGCCGCTGGTGGTGCTGGGGAAGAAAACAGTAAAACAAAAGCAATGCCTATTTTTTGAAGGACTGTAGAGATTAGTGTCACCATTAAGGGCCTGAAGATGGAGAGGTAGTAATTTCCACTATATCCCCAATCTAACTCGCCTATTTGGCCTGTGCAAAACAACAGATGGATCTTGGCAAATGACAGTACACTATCATAAACTTAACCAGGTTGTGACTCCAATTGCAGCTGCTGTTCCAGATGTGGTTTCATTGCCTGGGCAAATCAATAGCTCTTCCAGCACCTGGAATGCACCTACTGGTCTGGCCAATGCTCCCCCCAATTCCAGCTTCAAAAGCCCACCACAGACATTTGCCTTTAGTTGGCAAGGGCAACAATACACTTTTTAAACTCTTCCCCAGAGTTATGTCCACTCTCTGGGTTTATGCCATAATTTAGTGCTGAGACGTTGACCGCCTTTCTCCTCCTCCACAAAATGTTCACACTGGTTCTGAATCATATTGATAACATTATGCTGCAGGTAAGGAAGAAGTATCAACAAGTTTAAACTTATTGGTAAAAAAATCTGCATGCTAGAGGGTGGGAAATTTCCAACAACAATTCAGGTGCCTTTCACCTCAGTGAAATTTCTAGGGGGTCCAGTGGTGTGGGGCATGTTGAGATAGATAACCCTCCTAAAGTGAAAGAAAAGTTACTGCATGTGGCCCCTCCCACAACTGAAATGGAGGCACAATCCCTGGTGGGCCCCTTTGCACTTTGGAGGCAACAGATCCCTCATTTGGGTGTACTACTCCAGCCAGTCTATCAAGTGACTCGAAAAGCTGCCAGCTGCCAGTGGGGCCCAGAACAGGCCAACGCTCGTCAACAGGTACAGGCGCACGTGAAAGCCACTCTGCCACTTGGGCTATATGATCAGGCTGATTCAGAAGTGGCAGTGGCAGATAGATAGGCATTTTGGAGTCTCTGGCAGGTCCCTACTGGTGATCCACAGAGCGGACTCAGGATTTTGGAGCAAAGCTCTGACATCCTCTGCAGGTAACCGCTCCCCTTTTGAAAAACAGCTGATAGCCTGTTACTGGGCTTTAGTGGAGACTGCACACCCATCTCTAGATTTTTATTTGTATATATTAGAAAATCCAAGTAGCTCTTTAGGAGTATAGCACAGTTCTTCCCAAGTCACCACCTGAACCTCACCTTTGGGGTCTCTTTTTGATTCAAGTCTAATAATAGTTCTAGATAAGGGAAAGACAGGGCTTTCTGCTGCTGTCAAGAGTTATAGTCTTGGAAACTCACAAGGGCAGTTCTGCCCTGTCCTATGGGGTTGCTGAGTCAGCTCTGATTCAATGGCAGTGAGTGTGGTTTTGTAGTTTATAGGTCTATAGGCAATAATGGATGGGGAGGGTGTTTCCTGGGACTCTGAAGTATCTCGCAAAGCATCTGCCTCAAGAAATGCTCCAAATACAGCCCCAGGTGCCAGGTTAGCATGCATCAAACAAACTCACTGCTCTGGAGTCAATTCTGACTCATAGCAACCATGTCTTGGCATCCTTGCCTCTAAGGAGCCACTGTGGTCATACATCTTCCACCACAAATCGGTTTGTTCTTTTAGCAGTCCATGGTCCTTTCAATATTCTTTTCCAGCACAATTCAAATGCATTGATTCTTCTTTGGTCTTCTTTATTCAATGTTCAACTTTCATATGCATATGATACCATGGCTTGGGTCAAGTGCACCTTGGTCTTCAAATTAAGATCCTTGCTCTGCAGTACTTTGAAGGCTACAGGAAGTGCGTCACCTTCTCCTCACTTTCAGCAAGAAAAGTTGTGTCATCTACATATTGCAGGTTGTTAATAAGCCTTCCTTCAATCCTGAGGCTGCATTCTTTTTCGTATAATCCAGTTTCTCTGATGATTTTCTCAGCATACAGCTTAAACAAAAATGGTGGGAGGACACTACTGCCTGTGGATCCATGCACAAGTTCCTCATGAGCACAATGAAGTGACCTGGAATTCCCATTCTTATCAAGGTTATCTACACTTTATTATGGTCCACACAGTCAACTGCCTGGGCATAGTCAATAAAACACCTTTCTGGTATTCTTTGCTTTCAGCCAAGATACACCTGACATCAGCTATCATAATCCCTTGTTCCATGTCCTCTTCTGAGTCCGGGCTGAACCTGGCAGTTCCCTGTCAAATGTATTGCTGCAACTGTTG